GATGCTGGAAAAAAAACCAAAGAAGTTTGAAATAAAGTTACAGTGAAGCGTATTTGTTAATAGAGCAATATATTGCTGTATTCTTATTTGGAAAAACAACTATTCAGAATAAGTTTTGATATTTGGAAAAAATGTTTTCTCTTTGATAACATCATCAAGTTTACACACATGTACATGGGAATATTATTTTCTTTTAAAGATATATTTGGAAGACATTTACAAAACTCTCAAGGGGTAATCAGGGTAGACTGAACTTGCGAATAAAACTTCATAGTAAATTTCAGATTAAACAAAATGGCTTTTTTACTTCTTCAGGCTTTTGCTGACATTTGTATATTCATGTTGTTTTTGAACTCTCTGGATTTCTCCTTTTTGTTACGTGTGAGGATATATTTATGATAATATTATAATCATTTTTACCTGAGGTAATGTTATGATTTTTAAAATATTTTCTCAAATTACTTAAATATAATTTGTTTATATTTCATTTTCAAATTTTTGTTTTAAAACTGGAATAAAGAAAGGTCTTAATGTTTCACTAAGTTGTAAACCCTTCCAACAGAACTCATACAACTTATTGAAAAATAATGCAAATATTAGTTGGGGAGTAGTTGCTTTAAATCGTAACAAATATTTTGTGGATGTAGAAAATTTAAGGGGTACCGACCCTTTGATAAGACAGTTAACTTTCAAAGTATAAAATACAAATGCTACTCAGTGTTTTCTTAATCAGAGTTTCTTAATTGAGACCTCTGAGTAGTCAATGAAATCTAACACATGATGGAAACATTACTTTCTATTTCTTTGGCCAATTTCTTAGTAATTGTTTTATCATGTTTAACAATAAAACATTTAAATCCAACTTCAGAAGCCAAGTAGATTGAATAAGTTGTATCATTTTAAAAATGGTTAATTATTGAAGTACTTGAAACCCATGAATATTGATGGATGATTCTCACACATCACCATATAAATATCTGCTCTTTTCCGATATATGTACATTCAGTAAGCTTCATTGGAAGAAAATGACTGTTTTGTTTTGACATTGTTCTGGTTTATACTAATGAAATATAATGGAAAATTTAATAGAGTGAATAATCTGACATTGGGTTCCACCTCTGATGTTTGGAGATCAGTGTTTTCTCTGCTCCTATTTCGTATTGTGTTATGGACTGAGATTGACATAATAAATTCATGTTAAAGGCAAATATTTTTTTACTAATCTTTGTTCTCTCAACTTATAGGTTTTTGTCAAAAAATTGAAATAAAACAGAAAAATATCATAGAATGGCAAAATAATGTTTAGAAGAAGCAATGTCCATTTTCATAAATTTTGGACGAGTTAATTTTGAATGAAAATTGCCAAAAATTCCATTGCTTTATAAAATATTGTTGAACGAGAGTTTTGGTTTTACGAGTTTTTTTGGTCCTGTGAAAAAAAGCCCTTCAACATGAGGTGATTACATTGTATTTTAAACGGCAGAGCTCCAAAAATTATAGAGATTGTTTAGAAATAAAAAGCGGGGAACAAAAAAGAGAGAAGGCATAAAGATTCAACTCCAAACTAAATTGTGTGACAAACGTGATGACTTCAGTTATTCCCTTACTAAAATATATTTTTCTCCCAATTCGAACTTAAGTGGGCGGTATTAATCTGGGTTTGTCTGTCAGTCTAGCTGTCCTGTCTTTAAAGTCGTCCAACATTTTTTTCTGTCTGTAAGCTTTAGCTTCGCAAAATATCTCAAAAACACTTTGGGTTTTGGCAATAAGGATAAAGATAAAAAAGCAATTTCTTATAGCCTACAGAACATTTGAACTTGAGATTTTTGGTCAATCAAGAAAATTCTGTCTTGATTAAAAATTTAACCATTTTGAACTTTTGCAATGAAATTTTGCATAACAACTCCCTGTGGCCTATGGAAGACTCCTATTGATTTTGAGGTCAAAAGGTCATAGATAAAAATACACTTTAAAATTTTGTCTGTGTGTAACAGTTTCAAATTGCTTGACATAATCAATTAATTCAGATTTTGAACTTTAAAGATTAAATTTCGTACTAAAACTTCGTAAGGCCTCTCCTATACCTCTCATAGTTTTCAATCTGTTTGTTTTAAAAGTCTTTTTTTTGTATTAAATATCGCTTGCACTATCATTAGCACGGGGGCGTGTGGAAGGTTTTTTCCTATAATACAGCTTTTTGTTGGACTTTTTATTCCCATTACATAGCATCTATTAGAATTCTTTTATAATGTCTTTATTAGGTAGCATTCATTGTGCAAAATTTTGTTAATATCAAGATAATAAAAATCTAGACTCTGAAACATTCCTGTTTATATATGATATTTTACATTCGAAAAGAAGTTAATTAATCAACAAAAGCTTTATGACAAACGGTTAACAGGTAACTTTTCTATCGTCAACTTCCCTTAACTTATGCAGCAATATACTGTATTGAATTGCCATCCTTGAAATATATACGTGTATGTGTCCTAATGTTTGCAAATATTTTTTTTTATCAAGAAACGGCTCCTTGGTGTATGGTTATGTTTCTAAACATGTAAATTATTGTACAAACAAGTTGATGAAACAAGGAATATCAGAGGTAAAGTCATTGTTATCGGTTTTTGTCTATTGTCAATACAATGACCTGTGTTAGCAAAAATAACATTTATCACTGAGTCAAATGCTGACTGACGTTCTATCAATTTTTACCATTTTGTCATTGCTTTATGCATGGAATAAACATTGTGAATTTCATTGAATACCCGGGGGGGGGGGCTGTTCGTGCAAAAGCACCTATAAAATGCAATATCCTTCTTACAGTAGACATCAAGCTAACGAAACTTGTGATTTATTTATTCATTTTTGTTTTGTTAATTGAATATTTGCCTATTTGTCAAGCAGTGAAACTGTCAGCATGATTGTAATCAGCATTGAATCCTCCACTAAAATTTGTACTAAGGCGGGGCAATAAAGGTTATGTGGTGAAAAAATTATTTCTTTGAAAAATTAGCATTAAATAAACTAACCAATGTTGAACATGGCTGCCTCTTAAACAATTGAGAGTTTCATGGCCCCATGGTCAAAGGTTCTTGTGTTAGGAGGGGTCGTTAAACATTTTTCAGCTTCTATATATTGAAAATTTTGGCATTCTATAATTTTTTTTGGTTTTGAAATTTAGTGCAATCTTTAAAAATCTTCTTCTTAAATAAACCATCAAGCACAAAGTTATATGATGTAATCAGAATGAGTCTCTTCAAAAATTGTGAATTTCATGCTCCCTGGGCTTTGGGTTCTAGTGTTAAGGTGGGGCTCTATTGGTAACATTGAAAATTCATTTATTCTTTAAAATCTTCTTCTCTGCTCCTGGTATTAAATAAACTAATTAAGTTCATAGTTATGATGAGGAAGAGTGCCTCTACCAAAATTGTGAATTTAATGGCCCAGGGTCAGGGGTTATGGTGTTAGGGCTGGGCTCAATTGATTATATAGTGAAAATACATTACCTCTTTAAGAATCTTCTTCTTTGCTATTATGTATTAAAAAACTTACCAAGTACATAATTATGTTAAATAAGACTGCCTTTTCAAAAATTGTGAATTTGCTGGCCTATACATAGGGTCAGGGGTTCTGGTGTTAGGGCTGGGCTCTATTGATTATATAGAGAAAATGCATTAAATATTTGAAAATCTTCTTCTCTGTTCCTGAGTATTTGATAAACTAACTAAGTACATAATCATGATGAGCAAGAGTGCCTCTACCAAAATTGTGAAATTCAGGGGCCCAGGGTCAGGGGTTCTGGTGTTAGGGCGGGGCTCTATTGATTATATAGTGAAAATGCATTAAATCTTTGAAAATCTTCTCTGCTACTAGGTATTAAATAAAGTAACTAAGTACATAGTTATGATGAGCAAGAGTGCCTCTACCAAAATTGTGAAATTCAGGGCCCCAGGGTCAGGGGTTCTGGTGTTAGGGCGGGGCTCTATTGATTATATAGAGAAAATGCATTAAATATTTGAAAATCTTCTTCTCTGTTCCTGAGTATTTGATAAACTAACTAAGTACTTAATCATGATGAGCAAGAGTGCCTCTACCAAAATTGTGAATTTTATGGCCCCAGGGTCAGCGGTTCTGGTGTTAGGGCGGGGTTCAATTGATTATATAGTGAAAATGCATTAAATCTTTGAAAATCTTCTTCTCTGCTTCTGAGTATTAAATAAACTAATTAAGGACATAGTTATGATGAGCAAGAATGCTTCTACCAAAATTGTGAATTTTATGGCCCCAGGGTCAGGGGTTATGGTGTTAGGATGTGGCTCTATAATGATTATATGGTGAAAATACATTACATCTATGAAAATCTTTTTCTCTACTCCTGGGTAATAAGCAGAATGAACTATTTACACAGTTATGATGAGATTGGCTCTTCTTCCATAATTGTGAATTTCAAGGCCCCTGGGTCAGAGATACAAAAATGGGGAGGGGGGCTGTGCTTATATACTGAAAATGAATTGTTTGAAATCTGCTTTTTGGTATTAATCACACATTTTTGATAAGCAAGTGTGCCTTTTCAAAAATTGTGCAATGTGTAGACCTAGGGTCAGGGGTTCATGTGCGGTAGGAGCACTCTTGATTATTGCTGAATATTACTGATTAGTTGACATACTTTTTTGTTCCCCTACCCTGCTTATCCATATTAAGTAAACAAACTAAACAATTGCTAAGTCTATAATTATGATTAGCAATGGGGCCTCTTTCAGAATTGTGAATGCCATAGCATCTAGCTTAAAACATGAACCAAATTCAATCATTTGAAAATTGTTGCATGATGTTCAGGTGACCTATAAGGCCCATGAGCCTCTTGTTTAATGTAGTAATGTATATGAAAAATCGTTTAATTATCTTCTCCTCTGATTGATACATGTATCTACATCTTTGTACTTTCAGTTAACCTAGCTTTTCGAGGCCCGAACATAGGTGAGCTTTTCGACGGAAATCAAAGCACATCTCAGACAATTCGAACAGTAAACGTTCAGCTTGGAGGCGTTTTTATCGTTTCTGCTGTGAATGTACATGGTAAAATTCCTCAAGTGTTTGAAACATAATCAAAAAGAATATATTTTTTGAAAAGGACACAAAAAATAATCTGTTTTGTAATTGTTTTGTCTCTCTTTCTCATACTTGATTATGTAATATGATCACAGGACCTGACTATCAAAATCAAGGATAGTTATCTATTATTTGTACGTTCAAATCTGTTTTCCTTGAAGTTTTTCCAGGAGATTCTCCTCATCTGACCATAAAAGACTCTGAAAACAGAACTTGTTACTCTGCTGTTCCATCAACAACTACGATTTACTTCGATCGAGTGTTCAAAACAAAATGTTTGGCAATGTATTTTAGTAAAGAAGTTGCCGTTAAAGAAATAGAGGTGTTTGGTGGTAAGTATATATCTTGTATCATTTATCTAAAGTTCTTTTTAAAAGGAAATCTGCTGATTAATGTTTTAACTAGTTTTCGCAGTTTGGATAAAATTTACCTGGACGGGAAATACCGTTATTTACCACTTGTAATTCCCACCACCGGTATTTCCCGACCAACCCTGAATTTAATTATCTTATATATACTATAGGCATGAATATTGCCCTCTGGAAAGCTGCTGAACAATCGACAAATCTGAATGAAGCTTACACGTCTGATAAAGCTGTAGACGGTTTAGGTAATGGTGATGATATGAACACATGCTCACACACATCTGAAATTTCCACACCTCCAACCTGGAACGTTAGTTTGGCGAATAATTTCTCTGTGACTTCAATGTACATTGTCAATAGAAAAGACTTCCGTGAGTAAATCTTTAACTATTTTGAAATGTTAAATATGGTAATTTATCACTTAAGTAGTTAATGGATAAATTCAAGATAGATTTTATTAGACATTACTTTGTGTAAACTTAACTGTTCCAATTCTAACATTACAAAAACGGAAAATCAGTATACAAATGGTGTACATGCCTAAAAATAGAATTTTTGCTTTACCCAACCAGGTTTCAATGACCAATTGTGTGAGTCTGTGCGTGAGGGGGCGTGTTTATAAGAGAGCGAGTGTGTGTTTTCGTTCAGAAATCAGAAAAAATACTCTGTATGCGACCTTTGATCAAAGAAGTGCGTGCTAAAACATACAGTATGATGTCTGCAGGGGGATTCCTTTGGGAAAAAAATTAAAACAATGACAAATATATTTATTCTTCGAGTGAAAAAATTGTTGCAAATCGATTAATAAACACAAAAATGTTTACCATAGATAGCCAAGCCATTAAGTAAACACCACACCATAATTTCAATGTTTTTCCACAAGATATTGGCAGTTGGGTTGACTGGGTGTAGACACCAAGGCACTGGATGACTAGCAGGAGATGTAATAGTCATTCGCTGCAAATTATTTGACTTGAAACTGGGAGACTGCTTCTGGTGTAACCATACAATTATCGGTAATTAGCAACTGCATATCTGGTCCAAAAAAAGTACGCAGTGCTTGCCGGGAAATTTTGTTTTCTTTCCTTCTCTTTTATTTGACCTATTGCTACCTGTTTTCGTATGTCGTTCGTTGTTCGTCGTTCGTCGTCAATCGATCGTAAACTTTTGAACATTTTCAGCTTCTTCTCTGGAACCACTGAGCCAATGTCAACCAATTTTTGTAAATAACATTTATGTGTAAAGGAGAACAAAAATTGTGAAATTCATTGTCCCTGCTCCCCTGGGGCCTGAGGGGTGGGGCCAAAACCACTAAAATAGTTGCAATCTTTAAAAATCTTCTTTACTCCTTGGCATCAAGCAGACAAACTGATTGTATGATTGTAATACGCACTGAGTCCTCTATCAAACTTATGAAAATCATGGCCCCAGGGTCAGGGGTTCTAATTAATGCTAGGGCGGGGCTATATAAATTATATAGTTAAAGTGCATTATGTTTTTGAAAATCTTCTTCTCTGCTCCTGGGAATTAAACTAACCAGGTTAATGTATTGTTATGATTGGCAAAAGTGTCTCTTCCAAAATTGTGAATTTCATCGCCCAGGGGTCAGGGGTTCTGGAGTTAGAGCGGGGCTCTATTGATTATATAGTGAAATTCCAATAATTCTTTGAAAATCATCTCCTCTGCTCCTGGGTATAAAGCTAATGTATTAAGTATATAGTTATGATCAGGAAGCGTGCCTCCTCTGAAATTGTGATTTTTATGGCCCCGGGGTCAGGTGTTTTGGAGTAAGAGCGGGGATCTATTGATTTTTTTTAGTGAAAAATGCCTTAATTGTATGAAAATCTTCTTCTCCGCTCCCGAGTTATAAACAAACTAACTATGTACACAGTTATTATGAAGAAGGATGCTTCTTCTAACATTGTGAATTTCATGGCCCATGGGTTTCTGGTGTTAGGGTGGGGCTGTATTGATTTCATAGTGAAAATGCATTAATTCTTTGAAAATCCATCTCTCTGCTCTTGAGTATTGAACAAACTAACTACGTGCATAGTTTTTATAATGAAGGGTACCTATTCGAAACTTGTGAATTTCATCGCCCATGGGTCGGGGGTTCTGGAGTTAGAGCGGGCCCTATTGATTATATAGTGAAAATGCAATAAGTCTTTGAAAAACTTCTCCTCTGCTCCTGGGTATAAAGCTGATGAATTAAGTACATAGTTATGATCAGGAAGCATGCCTCTTCTGAAATTGTGAATTTCATGGGTTAGGGGTTCTGGTGTTAGGGCGGGGCTAGCGCTGTATTGATTATTAGGATGGGGCTGTATTAATTATGTACTGAAAATGCATTAACTCTTCTCTGCTCCTGGGTATAAAACGAACTAATTACATACATATTTATGTTGAAGAAGGGCGCCTCTTTAAATTGTGAATTTCGTGGCCCAAGGGTAAGGAGTTCTGGTGTTAGGGAGGTGTATTGATTATATAGTGAACATGCATTAATTCTTTGAAAATCTTCTCCTCTGCTCCTTGGTTTAAAACAAACTGACTACATACTAAGTGTTTATAAGTCTTAATATGATTCCAGCTGATTATCGATGAATAAATAAGCATTTTACAAGAAAACAAGAAAAGATGTTTATAGAAGACGACAGTAATGTAGAACTATGTCAAGATAATGTAGGTGTATGATTGATTTATTAATACATACGAGCTTGAAGCGGGGGTGCCCGAAAATGAGTTAGATACCTTGTGGTAAATAAAGGTACATGTAAAGGTACCCCGTATACGAAACAAGTGCCTGTGCCCGTGGATCTAGGGTATCATAAAGGACGGGGGGGTCTTATTAATACTGAAAATGAATTAATTCTTTGAAATCTTCTCAATTTTATCTATCAAGAATTTATGATGAGCAGTGGTACCTTTTCCAAAATTGTGAAATGTGTGGACCTAGGGTCAGGGTTTTTTGTGGAGTGGGGGCATTGCTGTGTATAACTGATTAGTTGAAATGCATTGTTTGTTTCTCTACTCTGCCTTTGGGTATTAAGTAACCAAACTAAACATGTTAAAAGTATAGTTATGATGAGCAATTGTGAATTTCATGGCTCTGGTTTAAAACATGATCCAAATTCAATTGTTTGAAAGTTGTTGCATGATGCTCATGTGACCTATAAGGCCCATGGGTCTCTTATTTAATACTATTTAAGGTTGTTTTGTATTTTATCGCACTGTTTGTTTTTTTATAATTATTTTTTTCAAAAAAATTTTAAAATTAGGTAAGAGTGATAATAGAAATTTGCTTCAAATACAGATGTATGTTCTTTCTTTCTTTTATAAGTTTAATTGAAGCTAAGAAGTATCATACAAAACGATTAACAAAAAGCACTATTAATGTCCAGCGACATCTTTTAAAAATGTTAAATTTCTATGAGAAGTATCATATTTCCAGGAAAAAAAAATAATTAATTACTTGAAATTGACAAAAAAAAAAAATAAATAAAAAGCGCGTCATATTTTTACTCAGATTTATTAGCACAAAGCAGTTTTGCAAGTGTTGGATTAAAACCAAATTCAAGATGCTAACGAAAATTAATAATATGATAGAGCTTATTGTAAGGTACACAATTTTTTTAACGTCAAAACGAGGCTCGAGCTCAATTTTATAAAGTTAGTTTGCTTTTTGCCGTCTCGCCAAATTTGATCCCAAGACAAGGACGGCTGTTCTTTAATTTATATTTTTGTCGATAAGAATATTTTAAAAGAATATGAATATATTTCTTATATCAAGACACAGCAAAGATATTCTTTCACTTCCATATTTAGATAGATTATTATATGCTTAACTTAATTCCTTATTCTTAATATTTTTTCCTTTTTGATAATTCTAATTGAAAATGTGTTTCATTTAAAATTATAGAGACACGTATAAATAAATTTACTGTGTATGGGAAACAAGGAGAAACGATTAAAAATATTTACAATGACACATCCAGCGACTCTAGGGATGTCATATGGATAGATGGACGGTATTGGAAACCAGAGCTACTAAGTGAGATTATCGTCGACGGTAAAAACTTAAAGGATGGGTTGACTGATAATAAGATATTAACACTGTGTGAAGTTTTTATATTAGGTATGTTTTCTATAATAAATTCTATAAATATTTTAGTCATTTCACATAATATTTAATATTGTGCAAAATTCATTTTTTTCCAATCTTTTGAACGCCACTTTTTCTTTAGTTCGGTACAATATAAGCATACTGTGAAGTAAGTCATCATTTTATCATTAAGTTTTTGGGAGGTTACATGTACCTAGTAAAATATTCAAATATGAAACATATGTATCAGACTCTGTGGTATCAAATATATCATACGTGTATTATGAGTTCACTGAGTTGCACAGAGTCGACATTTGAATTGAAGTACGAGTATCTATCGTTAAATGATAATACAACGTCAATATATCAAAATATCAAGGTGAAGGCCACAGCAAGTGTTTTCTTTTTCTCATATTTAAGTTTAAGGATAATCTCTGCTTCATATGAATACAAAATATCTTTGTGATTAACGAATACATAGTCTCTAATATTTACAAAGCATGCAGGCCTTTGGAAAATGGCAATGATGACTGCAGAAGTTTTTGTCCAAAAAAATGCCAGCAAAGTGAACTTTGTCTCAATGAAAACTTTACGTGTCCTAAATGCATTCCCGGATGGAAAGGGGATTACTGTCAGAATGGTTTGTAGAATTCTTCAATTTTTTAAATTTTCAATCTTAATCGTTTTTTTCTATTATCAGATGTATTAGTCTGCACTTTATTCAATACAGAGTTCAAACTAATTATAATATAAAATATATATATATATATATATATATATATATATATATATATATATATATATATATATATATATATATATATATATATATATATATATCATGTTCACTCTTTTCTTATTCAGTTTTATTTCATTATTTCTTCGAGAGAGGAAATATTTTGCCTCTAAATATTTATTTTATCCAAAACATCTTACAAGTTATTGATATCAATGTTATAAAATAGAGAGGTATCGTAGACTAACTTGTACTTGTACGTGTATAGTACAAGTAATAGAATTACACGTAAGGGTTCACATCACTTTTCTTGTTTAGTAATTATTACTTGTACTTGTAAATGCTTCAAATGCAAACTAATGGTTTTTCTTTGGATTCATTTCATTTTTAGTAGGTGTATCCACTTTAATTTATAACAAACATCAATACTGAATTAAATAAATGCTTATATTTATGAAAATAAATTAAAAATGAGTTTTTATAGCATTGGTTTGTCAAATCATATGTTGAAAGTCAACATTAGTGTTTTTATTGCTTAACAGCCGAATTATTTACCATAAGGAACACACACACTTTGATTGAAAACAAACGCAATTAAGAAAATATAAGCTACAAGTTTGCACTTACGGGTACTCAGCGATCTACACGTACAATGGATACGTGTAGAATATCATCATTACCAAATGTGATAACGTAATACACATCTTTTCCCTGTTACACGTACAAGTACACGTACATGATGGTTTGCGAAACCTCTCTAATATCTATATGTACATTCTTTTATTTTGTTAAATTTCATACATTTGATTCCGTGAAGGCTATCAGTGACTGATCGAAAAGAAAAAAGCACCTTCAATAAAATTTTTAAATTTCAATCATTAGAGAGGTTTAGCAAACCAACGTGTACGCGTAAGTGTACGTGTAGCACCAGAAATCTGTGCAAAACGTCATCACACTTGCTAATGACGAATTTCTACACGTATCCTCTTACGCAGGTTACGTGTAGATTGCCAAGTACACGTAAGTCTAAACTTGTAGCTTATAATTCTTTAACTGCTTTTTATTTTTTGAAAAGTGTGCGTTTTTCTAAAATCTGAATATTTAATGCAAATAATGTTAAAAGAACTGAACGTCAGTAATTGAAAAATATTAATTTATAGGCAGTTAAAACCACAAAATCTAGATTTTCGAAACATGCTTTGACCGATTAAGAATATAAGCAATCTATACAATCTTTTTCTCATATGTAAATGCATATATTTATTAAAAAGGGTGATATACGTATTAAAATCATTGCTCTTTCGGATGACTTTTAAATGAAACCACTTTTACATTAAATACCTTACAAGTACAAGTACAGGTTATACTTTGCTAAACAAGACAAAAATATTAACGTGTACGTGTAATTCTTACTTGTAATTTACACGTACATGTACATGTACAAGTGAGCTCCCAGATAGCATGACTATGTTGGGCCAACGTTTGTTAAAGGTTGTATGGTTGGTGTTGGGGGAACAACGTTGGGCCAACGTTGGACCAATGTTACCAAGTCAACCTTCTCGACCATGACGGAATTCCTATGTTGGCCCAATGTTGGTACAACGTAAGCAACTTCCTTTCACTTTAGTTTCCAAGGAAGGAAGGATCCTGGTGTTGGCCCAACGTTGGCCCAATGGTTATAATACACCCTTAAAGAAGTGTATTTACAAGTTGGTAGTAGTATGTTGGCCCAACGTTGTAGTAATACACCCTTAAATAAAAATAAAGTGTCTTATCAAGTTTTTAGTAGTATGTTGGCTCAACGTTGGCACAATGTTTGTAATACATCCTTAAAGAAACTGCCTTATCAAGTTGGAAGTAGAATGTTTCCCCAACGTTGCCCCGATGTTTCTAATACACCCTTAAACGAAAATTTGTCTTATTAAGTTGGTAGTATTATGTTGGCCCAACGTTGGCCCATTGTTTGTAATACACTCTTAAAGAAAGTGCCTTATCAAGTTGGTAGTAGTATGTTGGCCCAACGTTGGCAGAATGTTTGTAATACACACAAGTGTTATTTTGTTTAGTTGTTTCAAAGATGGGATATTTATATTGGGCCAACGTTGGCACGTTTATTATACTGCCAACTAATTGATGGTGTCAATTTTGTAATTAGCTGCTGAACTTTACGATGGGACAACGTTGGCACATTCTGAAATAATTAAGAGGACTTTCTATGTCCATGCTTATCATTGGATGACTGCTTTTGTTAAGATATGATATTTTCAACATTTTAATTTTGCACTTAAGGGATCACAGCACCAAAGAGTGTTTTATTCTATTTTTTGAATTGTGTTTATGCTTATTTATTTGTAATTACCCAGATAGCAGAACATCGTTGCCATATCTTACATTATGGTTCTATTATCTATGTCGGGTTACCTTGATTAGGTCAACAATGGCCCAACATGGAATATTGATAGCTGGTTATGTATAACGGTGCGCTAATTTTGGGCTAACTGTTGGCATTAGGCCTATATCATAAAACTATTATCATGAGAGAAAATATTTGTTTGGGGATTGGCATCGGCCCTACGTTTGCCCAATATATCATGAATTTGACTGAGAATCATGGGTTGACAACAACCGGGCTACTTGTAATATCCGCGCCATTTTTAATCTGCCACGAGCGAGCGTAATGAGACTGATACTTTGCATATCTGCATCCACTTTGTAAGTATTAATAATATGATTGCCTAGGCATAGCTGAATTGCCGTTTAGTTTTTAAACGATATCATGTACATATCTGTGTAAATCAGACATGGGGAAGTGTAGAGGCCAGGTGCTGTTGGCTCAGCACTGCACCCCAGATAGCATGCTAACATTGGGCCAATGTTGGGCTAATGTAATCGGTTACATCGGGCCAATGTTGGCAAATGACATCGACCCAATTTAAGTTTGCTCATCGGCCCAATGTTGGCCCGGTATGTTGGGTCAACGTTGACCCAATGTAGAGTGTTATTGCAGCCCGGAGGACCGGGCTGCTCTATACATATAAGTTTAAGTGCTGGCGTAGGGGATTGGGGTGGGAGTAGTTATTTAGAATTAAAGGTTTTCTTAACATTGAAAAGATTGTTAATCGGAATGTTCTTTCCTTTTATAAATTACGAGATACATAATATATTTACTTCTATAAAGTGAATCTGTAAAAATATATATGTTTTTCATATTTAATATATAAAGTTACTTATTATTTACCATCGAAAAAACGACAGGTCCCCTTTTTTAGAACATCGAATTTTACTTCTCGCATAAAAACGTACTCTGCACAGTTCGTGTTTTATATTCTAAAAATGAAAGTTAATACATTTTTGAATATAGGTGATGCATGTGTCTAACTTCAATTTATATTTTATGCAGCAACATTTACTTGAGGAATTGATCAAGTTTAAAAAATGGTTTCGTTTTTGTTTGATTTTTATCGGACTATAAGTTTTCAAAATATTCGCGACTATCGTCTCCATCAATTAGACGCACGCCTTTTCACACATATCGAAGCGGTTTGACGATCAAGACTCATTTTCATTGTTGCTAGCGCTCTCGAGCGCTAGCAACTACTTTGAATACGCATGCTCGGCCGCCATGGCCGTGCATTCTGGGAAAATTGTGAAAACTACTACAGATAGACCGTACGATAACAATTTCGTTGTATCATGTTGTAGCATGAAATAACTGTTTATTTATTGTGTAGCTTATACTTTAAATATAATTTCATAATTATAATATTTCAAATTCTGGGGGGTTTTTTGCTGACGGAAAAGCCCGATTCATTATCTGATTGTTCTAAACAAGACAAGGGAGATGACCCAAAGGACCAAACAATCTACTTCACATGCGTTCCAAACTCTCTGGACTCTTTACACAACATACACTTTGAGTTATTTTCTATATTCCTCTCAACTCTCATGTATTTTCTTTGCTAAATTGCCAAGAAATTCTCTTCTTTAAATCAGCCCATACATGCAATGTCTCAATCGGCACCTTCTTCATATTATATAGAGCCCCCCCCCCCTCCAGTAAAGTCAGATTATATAGAGCCCCCCCCCCCCTCTCCTGTAAAGGTCATAATTATATGTTCCGTTGCGCCAAAAGTCCAATAGGTCACCCACTCCCCTTGTTTTTTAACCTGTGTCTATAAAATGGATACAAATCACAAAACAATAATAACTTTATCACTCTCCAGCCTCGATAAAGATTAAAGAATTCAGCAAAATAAATCACTTGATCACGGATCTTCCTTTATGTGTTTAAAAATTGCTACGGCGCTAGCTCACCTATCTTTTTTAAAAAGATTAACTTGTTTACTTTATATATTTCCTGGGCGACAATTGATGGTTACATCAATGTTTTCTTGTTTCTACAGATATTGGCCCAACGTTGCGCCAACATTGGCTCAATGAATGCGACATTGTTGGCGAAACGCCAACAAGAACATTAGGCCGATGTTGGCAAATGACGTTGGCCCAGTGTCATTTCGCTCTTTTGCCCAATGTTGGCCCTATATACTGGACCAACATTGGGCCAATGTGTATAAACAATTAATTGTTACAAATCTTTATATTAACAGATCTGATCGTCTCTACAACCAGAAATAAATCTACGACCAATCCTACTTGAAAATACAAGCTAGGTAAAATAAATTTAATATTCTTATACTTTATCAAATCAAAATAAATTATCAGTGATTAAATTTGTTGTTGCTTTACAAGAAAAATAACTAAAATATAGAATAACAAATGTGTTTTGATACTGTTAAAACAATAAATAATTTGCCCCTTCTTTAGATTGAAATTTGTGTCTAGTAGAATACATTTCCGAAGTCTACCACTTAATTTACTTATATACACTTAAACGTCGATTACATGATCAAACATTTTGAAAATGTTGAACATGTTGAAGTTAAAACAAAATTTATTCAGTACTAACATAAATTGGGTTCTTTCATTTAAAAGTTCAGTGTAACGACAAATTTTCAATACATTTTTTTTATATGGGCAACATTGGATCAAACGTTGTGATGATGATGATCAAGCGTAGAAATGTTATGCATAAATGCCTTCATCACGCAAGCTAATCACTTAATCACACCAAGACACAAAAAAGACAGTTATTCCTAATTGACAGCTTAAACATATAGTGATATACTTGTAAATTTAATCGTATGTTTACTCTTTACTGAGAAAAGTAACAAATGTATAAAGTACCAAATATACAATTTTAGTGCTACTGGAGATTCTAAAAAGACATTGAGAACACAATCAAAGAATAGCTAATGTATGCCAAGGACAGGGATGGGGGAGGAAGAAACGGACAGAGAAAAAAAGAAAAGAAGGGGGAGGAGGAGACTTGGGAGAGAGAAGAGGAGACTTAGTAGAGGGATCAGAAGGAAAGTGGCAGTGCATAACTTTTTTCTGTAATACATGTATAGTGTGAAATACCTGTAGTTCTACCCTTTTCCGTGTCTGTTTGTCGGTTACAAACAAGATGCAGATGCCAAAAACATTTCTTTGTGTAAGTAAACAAAATGACGGGATTCATTTTAGTATTATTTTAGGAACAGGAGGGCTTTGTTTATTTGTTAGACGTGCTTATTGATACCTGTAATTTACTGAACTTGTGCATAACTTTACATCAGAGAGGGAGTATACAGTCATGTAACCCTACATGTATCGCTTGAAGTGAGCATCAACTAGTTCTTTAATTATTAATGTTTTCTTCATGCACTGAACAATAAAATTATAGTATGTCATAATTTAATTTTATATTTTGATTTCCTTTTTCTCAGTTTTTTAATAAATGTAGAGCTACTTACAGTGCAATACTTGTTGAAGGAAATTCTATGAGATATTGAGAATATGTATTAAACTATAAATCTAGCATATATAGATAGTATTAAAGGGTTTTACCATGAAACTGTACTACAAAACTAGTATAACCTGATTGTATATATTTGTTTGTCAATTTTGAGGACAAATAGCCAACCAGTGAAGAGCAAATGAGTTGTCGTGATGGAGAGCCAATAAGATACAAACCAACGTTGGCACAAAAATGATGTTTTCCTAACACTGAAAGAATAAGTGGCCCAACAATGGCTCAATGATATCCGTTCGTTGGTTTAACAATAAGCCAACAAGTTGGTCTGATTAAGGGATGATGAGCAAATTACTGTTGGACCAACATTCATTGCTTACAATGGCCCAACTGTACAAAAATGACGTTTGCCCAACACTGAACAAATATATTGGCCCAACAGTGGCCCAATATTAACTGTTACATTGGCCCAACAATAAGCCAACACGTTGGTTTGATTAAGGGCCGATGAGCAAATTACCGTTGGCCTAACATTAATTGCTTACAATGGCCCAACTGTACAAAAATGACGTTTGCCCAATATTGAAATAATACATTGGCCCAACATTGGCCCAACAATAAGCCAACAAGTTGGTTTGATTAAGGGCCAATGAGCAAATTACCGATGGCACAATGTTGAATGCAAACGGTGGCCCAACATAAGGAGCATTGTTGGCCCAACAAAGGTCCAATAATATCCTGCTATCTGGGCTTGCTAAACCTCTCTATTTATTAACTTAACATACATTTATAACAAAGTGAATAAACATACATCTGATGGTGCATCTTTAGAATGAAAAAACCCAGATAATTTAGTTGTCATGTGTAGAGGTTTACGTGTACGTGTAGAAATTCGTCATTAGCGAGAGTGATGACGTAATGCACATATTTCTGGTGATACACGTACATGTACGCGTACACGTTGGTTTGCTGAACCTCTCTATTTTTAAGAGGTGACGTGTAATCAGACACTGTTGATGAAAAACGCCCTGAGTTACAAACCAAGAAAACCACGGTACTCCTTCAACGAAACCATACACTACAGCTGTGCAGATGGTTACCTTCTCAGAGGATCTACATACGCTGTCTGTGCTCAGGATTCTTCTTTTCAATTCCATGAAGGAGAATCTATTTGTGAAGGTTTGTTTTTTAAGCTTTTTTTATTTGTTCAATAAATGCAGTAAATGTAAAGTATATTATCCGCATCGATATTTTGGAATAGATTTTTAATTTTTAACATGAATGAATTTTACGCGGATATCAGTTTTTTCATGAGACCATACAAGTTAAAAGTCCGGTGTTGCAACTAGTGTTGGCACAAAAAAAAATCAATTTCTGTTCGTTATCTTTACCGTTTACATTCAAAAATGCATAAATTTAAGTAAATTAGTTTGATAGTGGTAGTAATACTAAGCTATTCTGTCATTTTTAAGAGGTGACGTGTAATCAGACACTGTTGATGAAAAACGCTCTGAGCTACAATCCAAGAAAACCACAGTATTCCTTCAATGAAACCATACACTACAGCTGTGCAGATGGTTACATTCTCAGAGGATCTACAAACGCTGTCTGTGCTCAGGATTCTTCTTTTCAATACCATGAAGGAGAACCTTTTTGTGAAGGTTTTTTTTTTTTTTTGTTTGTTTGTTTTTTGATTTTTTTTTTTTTGTTTGTTTTTTTTTTTTTTTTTTTTTTTTTTTTTTTTTTTTTTTTTTTTTTTAATTGTTTTTTTTTTTGGGGGGGGGCAAATTTTTTTCTTAATTTTTTTGGGGGGGGGGGAGTCTTAATCCTTTCTTGGATGATGAATATTTAAAAAAAAAAAAATGAATTGAACCTGCATTGAACTTGAATTATTTGGATGTGGCATTAGAGTTGCAGGCTTTTCACTATTTTGTTTTGATCAAATATGCGTAAATATCTGCTTATCCATAATTGCTTGTTGTACAGATTTAAAATCTTTAAAATGTCACTGTTTACTAGTATATAAAAGTATAACTTATAGTTATAGTGCTTTTATTACTAACGTAAATTTTTTATCATTTCCAACAGAGTTGACTGCAGAAATGAAATCAAGAATGAGTGTAATTGTCGGCACCACAGTGGGAACAGTTCTAGTTTTTATACTTGTAGTCATTATTTTAGTAAGCATAAGGTAGGTTTTAAAAAAGTACAAATTTACATGAACAAGCAAATTCCAAGACGTGTGGCCCCCCGCAAAAATGTTTTTCGAAAGTTTTTTTCTTCAAATGCTTAAGACAACAGGGTCAAAATTTTTGACCAAAAATGCATATTCGCAAGAAGTAAATTAAATAATATAAAAGCCCCAGGATCAATCATTCAAACATTTTGGCTGAGGTTGAAATTGGTGAATTTGAAAGTCAAGTCAAGGTCAAAAATATTTGTACCCATAAAAAAGTAGCATTTAAAAAATGAAAGCTCTAGCACCGACCGTCCAGAAGTTGTCAAAGCAAATGTCTGGTAAAATTTTGCAAAAGTTCACTATTGGAGTTTTATGAAGAGACTTACTTTTACATTTGAATGCTGACTTTTACATTTTAGTGATTGGAGTTTGTCTATGTTTAAATTATAAAAGTCAGTCGTTAATTGTAAAAGTAAGTCTCTTCATAAAACTCCATTAAAATTATTTCTTTTTAATAGAAGGTATAAAAAGAAACCAAGCATTTATAGAGACATCGATGAATGTCGCTCTATGGACAATCTAGATCACCAGTACGCTCAAGTACATCGGACGACTATAAAACAAGAAAATACGAAAACAACGGGTAAGAAAATGCATCTTTTTATAGACGTACAATAGTATGATATGCTATACTGTATGATATATCACTTACATAGAGACGTCACTATAAATCAGCGACGAGTTCATATTTTGACCTTCACTCGGCATTTGCGGTCATCTAGCAGTAAGGGATCTTTATCGTGCCAACGTCTACTATGACACGGGGCCTCAGTTTTGTGGTCTAATCCGTAGGAACTGTAATTCTCATTCCCGGTGGCGAGCTAATGGCAAAGGAACAGTTGCTACGGTCCATTTTTATTGACTTAGGTCAGTGGCGGCCGATATTCGAACTCACGAAATACCGAACATGGAATGATCGCCACTCTCCTTACTGCGATGTCATGACGGTAGATTGTATGGAGTACAAAATATAAAAATCCAACTTTTCAATGAATTATAATGATTTTATTAAAATAACTTTATATCATTGAGTTGTGACTACAGAATTAAATTTTGCTTTTTTTGTAATGAAAAATGGCATGTTGTTATAATTTCTATACGCTATACGTAGGTACCAGTACTTTAGGTATTGTTAAAATATGGGATATAATATTTGGGATGCAGAAGGCTTAATTTCTTACATTTATATCCACTGAATATTTTCTGTTTATTATTTCTGAATAAAACTGTTATCGATTATCATTCAGTAAAGAACATAGAGCTTAGCACTTGTACAGATTTCTTTAGCTGTGGCTGTTCCATCAAGAAAACATACAATGACGTAGATATTACAACACGTCATCAACTAATCCCCACTTTAAATTGTTATCCTGACAGATCGATATGAATATTAAAAATACATTTATTTGTTGAAATAAAGACCCTCAAAATTGGCGACAATGAATATTATGTAAAATGTTACGAATGTAATTTTTTTCCTTGTTAAATTCATTAGCAAATGTCTCAGAAAAAATGCCGTACTACAACTTCAGCAGTGGTGAAGATAAAACTGAAACAAGCCAACAAAACACGTATTATGATTTCACATCAAAACTAAAGTCTTCATCTACAGCAGTAAAAGTTTCTGACTTCAAGGATTTTGTTGATAATAAAAGAAGAGATAAAGAATACTTTGATGAACAATTTCAAGTAAGTTTTTTTTTATTTAAAATAAATTACTTTAGAAGAAAAAAAACGTTAAAACATACATGCTTTGATAAAGAATTCATATTCAAAGCATGTTTTTGATATTTTTTCAATGAATGTGCTTTTCGTTTTAGCAAGTTTTTTAAGCCCTTTATAATTTGTTCCTTTTTTAATGGTTTATTAGGGTTTATATTTCAAGCATTTAGAATTTTGCTTTGACTGAAAAGGATTTGGTGTTGTCTTTTTTTCTTGCACATATTAACAAGTGTTCCCATTTTTCCTTATGTATTGGGTTAAGGAAATATGAAACATATGAGATAACGAACAGAATTCAAGATAATAAAAAAATCCATAAGACAATACAAAATAGGAGAAGAACAAACACGGACTTCCAAAACATCAGAGGTTGGATCGGGTGCCATGGAGGAGTGAACATCCCCTGCTGACCGGTCACACCTGCCATGTGCTCCTAGTCATGATCGATAAATAACGGGAAGATCTGTCGTAAATTCAGTGTATAAATAATGGACTAACAATTGGTATGAAAAACGTCAGTCGTCATCAAACTTCATAATAAATTGTATTTGTTGAAAAGGTCATTGTATCGACCAAAGGACATACAAAATGATGACTTTAAACAATAAATTAATTCATTCCTGATATCTTCTTGACACGATTCAAAAGGAAAATAAATAATATTATTATAACAATGCAAAGAAAATCAATCTTTATTAAAGCATTTCAGTGTCAAGATCCTGCGGAGGACTTATCATTTCTAAGGCTTTATAAAGTTTCTAATTTTGTAAAATAGTTTTGCTTATATATCAAAGTAAAATTAACCCCATTCTGAGGGCTGTTCAACAGACCTTCTATTGAAGGTATAAAGACCGCGAGCGGTCGCGAATGTTCGCTCTGTTTAAAAGGTCCCAGATTTTAATAAAAATCTTTTTACTGTCTGCGAATAATTTCCTCATTCTTAATAATGTTTGTTCAATCTAGGATTCACATTATAACTGACACAGTCAGGCATTTTACAGAAAATTTCTAAATAATAGGATTTAATGATTTAAATCAAATCGATTTGATGAAGATTCAACCCTCTATGAATTCTTAATCCTTCTAATTAAAGCAATCAATCGCTAAGTCAACTGACTGACACTTTTTTTTAACTTTTAATTTATTTTTCACACTGAATTTTCATTGAATATTCTCATAGTTTCATAGAAACCATGTAAGTGTGGGTTGTACTTTTACATGTATTTTTTGTATTTCTTATATCTCTCGTTGTGTTTTCTGAGTATTATATGTGTAAAAGACAATTTTTTTTTTCAGAAACTTTACTCTGGTCTCCAATTTCCAGCAACTGTTGCTGTGACTTCAGAAAATAGACCAAAGAACAAGTACAAAAACATATATCCCTGTACGAAAATAACATTTACGTAACATTTAATCTCACTGTAATTTAAACATTTTAAACCTTGCTTGGGCAGATTTAATTACACTTTGAGTGTGTTAGGTTGAAGAATCAGTTTTATAGATTTCAAATATTACTGAAACTGATTCACCAACAATCATATCCCTGACAAAAAGGATAAGAATAGAAAGTTTTATTTCTGTGTCTATCAAAATATGATTTCTGGTGATTTTTCAAGCCTTAAATTTCTTTTCTTTTTTTACCTATAGTATAAAATTAGGAAGTATATTTATTTAAATTAGTTTAAAATCAAGTTGATATTCGATATATTTGAGTACTGGTGTAAAAGTTGAAAACTCATGCTTTTTAAATAATTGAAATCAATGCAGAAAAATCATACAAGTCATTTTTCTCATATGTGTTTTTAAGGGGGCCGACTATAGTTTTATTGTGTGAAAACTTCAATAGCGAAACTCTTCATTTTTATACCATATATAACTTACATTAACTTCAGTGTACATGCAAAGTAAAAAATTAGTGCTATTTTTGAGGGACCGTCTCAAAATACAGATACATTTACTATAGGATTATATAGGAAAATGCCAATTTTTAGCACTTTAAAGCAAATTATACAAATACTACAATAGACATTTTTTTCAAACTATAATATTTGATGAGTAATACTATATTATACAATATATATTAGAAACACAAAATTCTACCGTCTTGTTACCAGAGGGGGCATCTCAAAATGCAAAAAATTAGAAATTTTTTTCACTATTTTTATAGAGTATTACTCTCTGGATTCACATCAAAACATAATAAAAATATTGGAGATATTCTCAAATTTCTATGTTTTAAATTTCAAGAGTGTATGTTCATTACTTTTCTTTAATAATATTTTGATTACCTCTTTCTTTAAGAGCTACAGATTATCATAACGTCAAAAACACACTGCAACGACGTCAACCTACATATCAATTGCAAAATCGGTAAAAAAAGATTAATTATATCAAATTGTTATTACATTTTTATACCTATAACTTCTTAATTTTGTTTAATTTTAATAATTAAGCGAAAAAAGTTGCATTAAAACAGTAAATACGCTTCATTTTACTACGATGCGCGAAATATTGCACAATGGAAACTATAGTCGGCCTCCTTAAATGCTAATTATGACGTCATAAACATGTGCATTTTCCAGTATTTTCTGAAAAAGAAGACACCGATTTTCAATGGAATTTTCTTTCAGATAACATTGTCCACATGCATTGCCCACAAAGATCTTGAGATATGTGATTTATTAAATTTTGCATAAAATATGAAAAAAATAATAATAATGACGTAGGCGACGGCTGTGGACACTGTTTTCTAAAGGAAAATCACCCTTGAAATGTGCCATTTTTAGGCTTTTTATGTTGAAAATAGAGAAATGCTTCACATTAATGATGTCATATTTGCAGAATGGTAAACCTTCATGCGATATTCTTTCCTGATTTATCAGTCATATTTTACATATATATTTCAAAACTTTTTGATGTCATTACATTTTTAGGGCGAAATAAAGCTAAAACCATACCTTCTTCTTTAGTCGTCATGTCGAATAAAAATATTAATTGACGCCTAAACTTTTTCTATAAGTTGCAAATTAAAGTTTGGCGATGACTCCAAATCGACATAGCGAACGTCAGATTTTAGAACTATTAAGTTTTTAACTTTTTTTTAAAGATGAGATATGTAAGAAGTCTAGAGAGTATCTTAATTAATGCAGTTTTTAAATTTGCGCACTAGAAAACATTGGCTGGCTACAAACAATTTGTATTGTCGACAATTTTTTTTTCCTAGGAGACAGCTGGCGCCAAAAAATCTAGATATCTGTCTATCTGAATGAAAGAGAAAATAAATTCAGACTGAGATTAAATAATTGTGTCAGAAAAAGTACTCTTTTATAATATTAATATCAATAATATACTTTTAGCATTATTAGCAAAAGTATGTATCATGCAATGTATCCACTGTAAAATTTGGCAAATGCTGAAACTTACTTCTGCAGATGATGAAACTCGGGTCAAATTAGAGGGAAGTGGAAGGGCAGATTACATAAATGCCTCCTACATTCATGTGAGTTCTCTCTTTCTCTCTCTCTCTCTCATTTGAGATAGAAATCTCTCTTGTCTATCTGACATTTTCATCTACAAAATGCATCTGATACTGGAGCATATTACATATACATTTGGTAGATTGGCAAGCTTGTGTTTTTTTTTTAACAAACGTTTTTTTTAATTTAAAAAAAAATGAAAGAAAATTTGGTAAAAAATTGTTTTAATCTATCAGATTTTACCTACTCTAATTAGAGGTGGTCGTTTAAGTCATTTTCGTCATTTAGATGACATATTGTGTTGGTTTCGACGACATTTTCTGTTTTTTAGAAAATTTTGGTTATTTATAATTAAGAGTGGGGTTGCTTATAACTGTTTGTTTCAAAAAATAATTGAAACACTTTCTATCTTTCTATTTAATGTATGGGCATCTTAAAAGATAAACGTTTTCGTGATTTCACAAACAATGGATAAAATTGTAAAATTCTTCATAAAAGTTGTAAATTTCATGAAATCATGATAATTTTTTCCATCGTGGAGCTAAGTTGTACAATATATTTACAAAAATGTTCATTTGAATTCATGGAAATTTTCCACTGTAATAAATAGCGTTTTACAAAATTATAAAATTTTCAGCCATTGGATAATTTTTCATATATATGATAGCTACCTTGTGATTTTAATTGCAAAATTTTATCTTATTATTCAAGAAAAATTCTTGAATGGTCGATTTGTTTATGTATATTTATTTAGTGGCTATCGCTTTTTAAAGATTATAAAATCCCCGGTTCCCCCGTTCTTATCTTTAAAGAAACATACTACCGGTAAGTTAACCATAAACTAAATTTTTTTTAATTATGTAATATATGCCTTTTACCCCAAAATCTCGAGGAAATACAAAGTAGTATAAAATTGAGAAATTGGCGACCCGGTGCCATCATGGTAATATCTACCTTCGTTGATGTCCGATTCCTCAGAGTAATGTGATTAAGTGTCCGACACCTCAGAACGTCCATCTTTTAACGTCGTCCAAATCGTTGGCGATTTTCAATAATTGAAGTCATGCCTTTTCAAAAGCCTAAATAATCTTGCTGACCTTATTTTCAATACTTTAGATATTCAACGTTTTAAATTAGTTTGAAACCGCTGTCATTTAACTCCAAAATATTTATTTTGTCTCACCTGTCATTTCCTGTCGTTTCGTAAGTATGTATCCACTATATGAACTAATGGCGGTTTTACTAAGACACTTGTACCTCCTAACACTGACACATTCTTTCCGAGCAATGAGAATTTAATCCTAGATAGGGATGGTTTCAAACTAATTATGATGTTGCATCTGACCCACCTGCACATATATGTCATGGTACATGTATTCAGCAATAGGTCAGCAAGCAAAGAGATATATGATATCAAAACTATCTAAAACATTTAAATTTATATTGAAAAAATCATATGCTTTCTATTGATCCAAAGGTGGGTTATTGTCTTCATTTGATTTCATGGATAACTGGGAAAATGTTTCTGAAGCACAACTTTGAAGCCATAAGAAAATAGGTAAAAACAAATGAATGACACATTCTGTTGCTGAGAGAAAAAAGGCTTGGCATACCCTTTATAAATGGTTATGTTTAAAAACATATTGTAAAAGCAGAAAATTTCGTTGTGGATAAAATTGCATTTTTTGCAGTTGACAATTTTAACGAAATTAAATCCCACACGAAATTTGATATATTTATTAATTTATTGAATAGGGTTATTTTTAAACAACGATTTTATGCCCGTAGTATATTTAAAGACCATGCACTGAAAACCTTTCTGAAAACTGAACTATTTATTCGTTCAACAGAATCTTTTTTTATCTTTAAAGGGATACGTAACAGTGAGGAGTTATATTGCAGCACATGGTATATAAAAACGACTACAAACAACAGTCAAATTTAACATGCAAATGATACACGCATTTATAAATTGAAGAGATAGTAATTAAGTAAGCACCCCATTCATTAATTAAGCTTAATAAAAAGCCTTTTTATTTTTGTTCTATATCTTTATTTTTTCGAGGCCCACTAGTTAATACGATTGATGATTTTTGGATGATGGTATGGAATGAAAGGAGTGGAAAAATTGTCATGCTAACAAACCTTATCGAGGATGACAAGGTGAATTTTTTCATTACAAAGTCAAATCGAAGTGTTGTGTTATTTCTATTTTAAATACATTTTCTATCTTTAAGATGAATTTTGTTATTGCTGCACAGACTTTCAGACTTTGATGTTTTATTTAACAACGTCTCACACCAAGTACCTTCATTTTTACAGATAGGAATTTGTAATAAAAATGGAAAAAGACAGGGAGACTATTTTCAGTTTTATATCAGTTATTTCATTAATTTTGAATTACATGTATAATCTCAATGTGTTGTTGAAGAGGACAAATATAATCTTTTTTTTTTTTTTTTTTGGTTTAAAAAAATCTTAAAAGGGGCTACTAACCATCAAAAATCTTTTAATTTTAAACTTATTATACTTAAAACTTTCAATTCAGATGAAAAATATATGCTATTATACAGAAAAGAAAAGAATTTACAGCTCAAATCAATTGTTTATTATAACAAGGGAGACATTCTTAAAAGTCAAGATAATATGTATTTATTTTACTAGGTGAAATGTATTCAGTATTGGCCAGAAGAAGAGAAAATAATAGCTGGAAATCTTACAATAGAAATGGTGGATATGGAGAATTTCTCTGACCTAACAATAAGAACATTTTGCCTAAAAAACGTAGGTACTGGGTAAATGTTTCTTAATGATTGCATCCATTTAGCAGTTATTGATCGGGAAATTTTGATTAAAACAAGTTCTGATGCCATAACATAGTTTACTTTCTACGGCAACAATCATGCATGTTTGCTCCATTGTGTGCTCAATATGTACAAATTCGTTTAACAAAGAAAAATCAAACACTGATATTTCTCTGCTAACTTTCACTTTTACACAGGAATGAGACTTGTTCAAAGAAAAGGACATGTTTTGGACTGTAGAATCATCAATGTTATTGGTGGACCAATGTTCGTGGATTTCTTGGGATACCCTTATCCACGAATTTACATCCCCACGCACATTTATTTTGTATATGTAGTTATTTATTGAATCCTCTATATGTATGAGTTACCCAGAAAATAACGTCCCCATGAACCAAAAAAATTTTGCTTATCCATGAATATTGATTCCCACGAATTAATTTGAAGGATATGGAGATAACGAACAGTATTCAATATCAAAACCCATAAAACAATACGAAATAGGAGCAGAACAAACAAAGACCTCCAAAACATCGGAGTTGGGATCAGGTGCCTTGGAGGAATGAGCATCTCCTGCTGATCGGTCACACCCGCCGTGATTCCACAGTATTCATATTAAACATATATTGTCTAAAACCTTAGAATTAAAAAAAAACCAGTTGTAATAGCTTTCAACTCGACAGTTAGATATATCACGACATAGTATCAATTAACAAAATTCGATTTGATATCAAGATAATCTTAAAAAGAACCCATGCTGTTTGACACATCTATGTCAAATTTGGATTTTTACCTGAATATGATGCTTAGGGTAACCTATCTGCTGATCTTATCATTAGGATAAACGTAATGATTTCAACTTTTCAATCATCAATGTCCCTTACTTACGTAACAAAATATCTTTATCACCTGTATATGCGGTTTTCAAGAACATGCTCTACTAAAGAACAATTTATAAAACGAAACACGCTATTAAATCAAGATGATGAAACAAAGATTTCAAAAGTCTTGTTAGAATTCATTATTTGCAAGTTTTATAGTCGGTACAATGACCTTTATATGTGCTCGTTATCAACATATTCCATTCTTTTTTTTAAATTAGGAAAATGATCATGAATCGCGGTATCTTTATATTTCATGCATTGGTTTTCTCTTCTAATGGTTTCGCCTACCCTTTACAGATATATCTTTCAACAGCTTTATAACTGAAATTGCATCTAAACAAACCCTTGAGGGCTACATGTCCTACAAAATACATGGACTTCTTGAAGCTAATTGTTGATAACGGAAATATTCCTTACGTTGAACCAAAATTTTCTTTCTTTTTTTTTAATTAGAATCTGTGCCAATAGGTACAAATGGCATACCAATTATTTTAGCTATTCTCGACCGAATACTTAGGTGAGCTTTTCTGGGAAAAGAGTATTTGTTGTGTATCATCTGTTTAGATATTTTACTTTTTCTTAATATCTGGCCAAATTGAACGAAACTTGGCACATAATACAAATATGAAGAAAGTTCAAGATTTGAACAGTTTTGAATTTCGTTCATCTTTGTATTATTTGTTCCAAGTTTAGTTAAATACCAGGAAGAGGACGAGGCACTTTATTTAAGCCCTATCGTTCAAAATTTATGACCAAGGTTAAAGTTTTTGGTATCCAATGAAAGGCCTTGCCACAAAGAATACTTATTTAAAATATTTCTAGTATCGACCGTTCAAAAGTTATGGTCAAAGTTAAATTTTAGAATTTTGATGTAATTTAAAAATTAGGTCAAACTCCAAGCTCATACATGTAAGATCAGATTTGGTGGTACCCAAAGAAAGGTCTCATACTAAGGAATACACATGTAAAATATGAAAGTTATAACTTCACTAAATGAAAAGTACTTGGCAAGGTTAAAGGTTTTGTGACGGATGGAGAGACTTACAGACGGACAGACAAATGAGATTTAATGTCCCCTTGCATTTGCGAAATCGGGGGAAAATATACATTGGAGCATGTCAAACATATTTTTTCTCAAGAACAGAAAGGCCATAATTATTCAAGTATCCTCGTGTAAGTCAGATGAAAAGGTTTTCAAAACATGATCACCATATAATCGGGCTTGGGCAGGGCTACTAAAGTAGATATAAGTAATAAATCTGAACATTAAGCAAAAAATTTACAAAATATCCTCTTCTAGGGAACAGAAAAGCCATTTTTAGTCTTATTATCATTGGAACATCCTCATGTTGATTATATGTGTTCAAATCATATCCCCCAGCTGGGTGTAGGGCAAGGTCACAAAAGGATATCAAAGTATACGGAGGAATATAATGAACATGTTTTTAGAATTTACTACTCAAGAATAGAAAATCTATGCTTATTTTTTTATAGTAATATTTATGTAGATACATTCTCAGGTTGCCTTGGTTCAAGTTTTTTTCAAAACATGACACAGGAAGTAAGGTGAGAAAATAATACTTTAAATAGTAAGACAAAAAGAGAGAACCATGTGCTTAAGTTCGGACCAGTCAAAGAAATGTGGAAGCAATTTCCTCTCTACTGGTGTAAATTAAAAATTGTTTAAATTATACCATCTTCCGGGTGGAAGTTTAATGTTTTCATGTAATGCTTAACTGATTTCTGTTTTTTTTTTTTTGTTTTGTTTTTTTTTATTTAAAGTGCTCAGGTAAGTGCTGTGGCTCATATGCTTCTTGTCTTTTTCTTATAAGGGTACAGAGAAAAGACTTGTACGCCACTTGCACTTTACTGCTTGGCCAGATAAAGGGGTGCCACTCTATGCTTCCTCTTTGGTTCACTTTCACTCCAAGGTGAAAATCACCACATCGCAGGGCAAAGGACCGATTATTGTACACTGCAGGTATTGTACTTATATTTTTATACACATGTATAAACGTTATGCTTCACATTAATTGCCGATTTACATTGTTCATTTTTTCTTTGTGGCGTTTATCTTTTCTTAAAATTTTAAGAATTACAATATATTTACTACTTTTTTCTCTTTTCCTTTTCAAACACTTGATCTTCGAAAGAAAAAAAGATGTTGTTAATAAAAAAAAAGATTTAGACACAATAAGACGGAAGATTATCGTTACTATTAATATCTCCTACAAAACTATAGATCAGGGCAACCAATACATATTAAAGACCCTACTAAAATACAATATATTAGCTAGCATACAAAAACAGGTCCTTAAACAGTGCAAATGTCCCATAACAAAAAAATATTCAAATCAAGGATTAAGGATTAAGTTTTTTTTTATTTTGAATAGGAAATACTAGTATTAGAACAAAGGATGAACAATTGGTTTAAAATATTTTGGTTAAATTTTAGTTTAATGTTGACTGACAATTTTATTTATATTGTCAGGTATTGTTAGGTACACGCTAAAATATCAGATTTTTCTCTTTGCCAATTTCATAGGAAAGAGCTAAAGGGGGATGTGACCGGGGTTCGGAGATGTTTACTCCTCGATGGCACCTGATGCCACTATTATGTTTTTATATAACCATGTTTGCTTCGTTCCTGATTTGTATTGATTTGAATGTACTTTAGACCTTTGTTACAATTCACTTTTTTCATATTTAATTTCGACAGCATAATACAATATAACTATTATTTCATGGCTGCTTTTTTACTTTATATTTTTCTTTCATGTATAGTATACCCCCTTTCCTATGCCCCAGTGAGATCAGTACACTTAGAAGCTAACATAACAAGACATTTTTTTTTCAGAAACATAAACTGTGAACCAATAACCAAATTGTGCCTTATTGTCAGAGTAAAATATGGAATTCGACGTAATTTTTTTCCAAACCAAATAATAATTTCAATACGTGTTCTAAAAGAATTATTCTAGAGAAAAAAAGGACATTTGTTGATGTTGGGTTGCTGGATAAGGAAGTTTCTATGAAAAAGCTGTCAGCGCTATGTTTTAAAAGGGCATTTATTAGTTAGTGTACTTACCAGAATGATAATCAAGTTTAATTAGTGTGAGAAGCTTTAGTTCTAAATAAAACCAAGCATTTTATCAGATAACATAATCTAATTCATCGCAAACTAGTTGCCTAATTATTTTTCTTTGGTATGGTCATATTAATGGATATTTAATTCAATGGCTAATAACTTTTAAGATACTTTTCTCTTTGTTGTACATCATACTCTTCTCTTCCATACGTATCTTCAAAATAGAAATTTTTTTGTTCATATTTTTCATGCTTATTGCTTACCTTATTGTAAACACATAAATTATTTCTTCTAGTGCAGGGATAGGACGAACAGGGACCTTTATAGCGTTAGACTACCTTATCCAGCAGGCCAAGGAGTCCGAATACGTGGATGTGTTTGGATGTGTCGAGATTCTGAGAAGACAGCGTGTTAACACGGTACAAACTCTGGTAGGTTTCTACAGTATACTATGACCAATATTTTCTCAAAAATCAAATTTGATGGAGAAATCTATCATAATATGTATTAATTAATCAAATGGTATTCCTGAAGACTTATTTTCCTCAGTCATAACGCTATATGTTATGACTTAAATTTCAAATTTTAATTGTGTTTTGAGAACAAAAAGTGTGTTTTATGTTGATATTTTGATTGAGGGTTAACAGAAATAAAAATTTAAGGTCCTCTTCAACTCAATCTTTTGATCAAATTATAACGTGAAGAACTAAACCATCAAAGAAATATGTAAAAATTATCATATGGGAGAATGCACTCTGTAAATTAAATATCAATCATAATTTAACCAATTTGGTCCATGGGCCATTTTAAAATTATTGAATAAAACAGAAAATCCAATTGTTTGTGGCCTCACAGAAACAGAAATTGCCAACAAGTTACTTTCAAAATATATTATTTCAGTTTTTTTAATACAATAATATTGTAATTTTTATATACAGTTTAGCACATCTCAAAAGATTTTCAAAATTTATTTGACAATTATTGGAGCAAACAATGTGCAGATATAGCATACCGGTATTATTGTTTAACCAAATATTTCTATACATGGGTTATTTGGAGTATAATCATTTTCAACATTTTTAAAGTTTGCCCTTGAAATATTTTTTATTCTTTTAGAGTTGCAATAAAAAAATAACAAAACGTCTCTCACACAAATTTATAATCTTTATTGTTTTAGAGAGTCAGAGAGTCTAACACATCTGTTTCATACAGTATTTTGATATTTTACTTGACAAAGACATTCATGGTAATCTAACAACCAAGCTCTATGATAATGGTGATTACTTTAACTTTTCTATCGTCAACTTCCCTTACTTATGCAGCAGTATACCTTCATCACCTGTATTCGGGAGTTTATATCTCTCGGTTGATACGATATGCAAGAGCATGCTATTCGTGTGTACAACTTCTAAAAAGACGTAAATTATTGACAAACAAATTTATGAAACAAGAATATCAGCAGTCTCGTTTAAAGTCATCATTTCGTAAGTTCTATGGTGAATACAATGACCTTCTCAGCGAATACAATTTATTATTGAGTCAATTGCTGACTGACATTTTTAATACTTATTGTTAGTCCAATATTTATAAACTGAATTGACGACGGATTTTTAAGTTATTCCCGATCATGACAAGGAGCACACGGCGGGTGTGATCGGTTGGCAGGGGATGCTCACTCCTCCATGGCACCTGATCCCACCTCTTATGTTCTGGAGATCCGTGTTTGCTCTTCACCTATTTTGTATTGGTTTTTGGATATCTGAGCTTGAATACTGTTCGTTATCTCCATATTTTTATTTTGAATATAAATTTGATTAATTTTTGATTATTTTACAACGGATTTCCGTTTTTACTGGATCAATAAATAAGGCTCTCTTCATATGCTACTGGCCGAAAAGAATGCTTACTTCTTCAAGGTATTTGATCCCACCATCGGTGTTTCCTGGTGCCCCTGATTTTTGCTTTCCATTTGTATTATTTACGTTCACCTCATCTTGTCATTTCCAATAGTAATGAATAAAACTGCTAGTATGTTCTTATCCCGTTTTCTTTTTAAAGGAGCAGTATATTTTTGTACACAACGCCCTGCTGGAAGCTTTAATGTGCACGTCATCTGATCCTTCTGCAAATGAGTTTCCTCTTCTATATATAGATTTTGTTAAAATAGATTCTAAAAGCGGAAAACGAAACATTGATTTGCATTTCGAGGTATGATAATAAAAAATAAGCTACAAAATGAATGTTTCATATAGATGGCAGGAAAATTATTTTACACAAATCAATTTATCTTTATTACCTGGCTCTAATTTTTTTTTTTTAATTTTTATCATTTACAATTGTCATAATTTATTGTAAGTACATTGGCAAATATCGTTTTTATAATTTAATCAGAAATTCGAATTAAAAAGAGGATCAATTTATGTTACAATATCATTTTATTCAAACAGTATTCTATATACATGTACATCGCTTGCTTTTGTTTTCAGAATATGATGCTTGGAATAGAGGAAATTCCTAGCAGTGCTTACAGATTTGCTAAAGAGAAAGAAAACCATATGAAGAACAGAAACAATAACATATTACCAGGTAGGTTTTACATACAGTATTTTTTTTTAAAAAATGATTAATTTTAAAATTTAATGAAAAATAATATTTTGATTTAAGTCTTCTTGCTTTTATATGGTACTTTATTTAATGAGACTTGTCATGGATATAATGGATTATTTTTGAAATGCAAAGGAACTGGTCAGAAGCATCGGGAAAATGCTTAATGTTTCAATGTTTACTTCTCTGTAAGTCCCCTAGTTTTATTTACCAATTTATTTTACATGTTTTACACAGCATCAAGCATGTATAAACGTATATATTTTGAAAGATGCTGTAGCTCACTACAATGTTGTGAAACTTTAGATAGAATTTTGGTATTTATAAAATTTTTACATGTTATTGCTGTATATAATCCTGACGCTTCAAATATATATAACAAAGAAAAACAAGAACAGTCTTGCATACTTACGTGAATTGAGAATTAAAGTTAGTAGTTAGACAGTCATTGATTAACTCTTACCTTTTTCCTAGTTGACAGTGAGATGCCAGAACTGAGAGATGAAGAATTTAAGCGTGTATACATTAACGCCGTATTTCTTCCGGTAATAGTACAGCATTTTTTAATATCCACTACATTATTTCAACGGGAATAAAACTAGTTTCCCTGACGAAGTTCGAGATAAAACTTTGCAAATTGAATGTGCAAAACATATTTTTTTCATTTTAAGATAGTGATACATACAAGATGCATGAATATATAAAATTAATATTGAAGGCTTACAGAATGAAGAGATCTTTTATTGTGACGCAAATGCCTCTAAAAGAAACCGTGGATGATTTTTGGAGGCTTGTTTCTTGTCATAACGTATCCACCATAGTGATGCTCAACCAGACAGCGCCGTCGGATGACAAACAGGTAAGGGAATCATTCTTGATATTTAGCACCATCTTGTCTGATATCAAGTTTACTTCTTTAATAAATATGAAATTGATTTTCAAAAACAAATTTAGAACATTGGGATTTACTGGCCAGAAAGTTCGAACAGCAGACAGTTTAACCAGGTCAATGTATATCAGGAGGGATTGTCCAAAAGGGAAAAAGATTACACAACTATCGATCTTCAGTATAAAATAAAGGACGAGGAGGAGATAGAGGCAATATATTTTTCTGATAAATTTTTCATTTTCCTAAAATTTTGACTATATTTTTAACAAAAAATGCAAGAGGCGGTTATGGTGTAAAATTAGTACAAACACAATGTATACCATGTATCCATACATGTAGGTATGAAATCTTCAAAAATAAAAATTGTAGGATTCAAAGGTTTTTTACATTTACATACAGTTTTTTGAAACAACACCTTTTTTTATAAAACATGTCATGCATGCCTTGTAACATTCATCTGATTTTAGGAAGAGAGGAGGATAAGGATTTTTAAATGCAATTTCTGGCCAGATTCTGCCACAATTCCGTCTTCAGTCCTCTCCTTTCTCAAATTGGTGAATGCTGTAGAGCTACACCATGACAGAAACAACACAGGCCCAGTTGTTGTCCACTGTTTGTAAGAAATTTCTTATTTATCAAAAATTATTTCGATTTTAAAGAATATTAATTTTGATTAAAACGTCTTAGTTTAAGAAGAGAGGTTGTCAGACCGAATGCTTTTGTCCGTCCTTGGGCAGCACTAAAGTTAAGTAAACAACACATTCTTCTAGGGCAATATTTAATTCATAAACAGTTATTTGCATAGATATGAACTAAAAGAAAAATAGGTTTTCTTTCATAAAAATAAAAAGGACACATTTGAAATAATTCAATTTACCTCACTCAAGCTATGTAGTTTACTATTCTTTTATTATTTTAAGGGACGGCTCGGAAAAGAGTGGTCTGTTCTGTGTTTTGCAAGTTGTGCTTGAGAGACTGAAGATAGAACAGGATGTCGCCATACATCAGGTGATTCAGCAGATGCGCAGTGTGAGACCAAGCATCATACCAAATGTGGTAAGTCTTTTTTTTATACAAATTTGAGACAGCACACAACTTTCATACAATTTGGTAATTTTATATCTTGAAAACTTTGCTTATGAAAGAAGATACAGTTGTATGGAGTGTTGCTTTAAAAGAACATTTTTCATTGAAAGCAGAATAGGTAAATTTTCTTTGGTTTTATGTGTACTAGTTATTATCTAAAAAGAAAAAAAGTAAAATTTTCTTTGTGAAGGTTAAGATTATATTTAAAATTCTGTTTTCACTCAAGAAATTTTGTAATTCTGCATTTGTTTAGCTGCAGAAATGTAGGAATTTATATATTAGTCTATGACTATAACACTACAGATCCCATGTTGCAAAAATATGCAATTAATGGCGCAAGATATTTTGGGCACTGCTGGGGAGAATTTCTCCACATTTCAGTACTGGTCAACTCCCTCTCACTCCCTATTTCTAGATACATTCTTTAACCAATTTATATCTTTTATCCACCTCCTAACCCTTTATAGTTGTCTACAAGCGATAAACTCGCTTTATTTGAATTTTTTGCAGCCTAACGACAATTCTAATCAAGCTTATTTATCCCCATGTAGAGACGACTGTAAAGAGCTGGAAAGTTATTTCAAAAAATATGCAGATAAGTTAAAGAATATGTCAAGAGAGAGCTAGGGAGCGAAAGATAGTTGACTGACCTACGCTGGAAAGTTGAGAAATTCCCCCTAACAGCGCGCAAAAAATCTTGCTCCGTAAATTGCATGTTTTTTGAATTACAGGATCTGTAGCGTTATGCTCAGAGACTAATATATAAAATCATAACGCTACAGTTCTGCAGCAATACTTTGTGAGTAAATTGAATCTAATTCTTTGGTATAAAATATTGCATATAGTAGAAGGTAACATTGATAATTTTCAAGCCCAAGAAAATCCTCAGAAGAAGCGCAGCCAAAATTGAGCATGGTTTTCAAGGGATAAAACTATTTACTTTCAGCTACAGTCAATATTTATTTAAGAACCGCAATCCGTGTGCTCAAGGATTTCGCACAGTCAGTCAACATTTTTTGGAATATCATAACATGTTAATGGGCTAAGTTGATTGTTTCTTACTGTTGACTGTTTCTTGCTGCATTTCTTGCATTATGTTTGTGATGGGAAATTAGTCAAAGGAAGTCTAATGCATTTTAATGTGCGGTACAAATTTGTATTGTACAGAAGCGTATTTTTGCCATGTATTTTTTTAAGTTGGTAATTCCAACTTTAAAGTTGGTTATTCTAACTTTAGAACTGGTACATGTAGTTCCAACTTAAAATTAGTAATTCCGACTTTAACCTTGGCTTTTATAACTTTAAAATTGGTGATTCTAATAGTAAGTTGGTAATCCCTGTTTTAATCGTGGTTCTTCCATCTTTAAAGTTTGATATTCCAACCGTAAAGTTGGAAAATCAAACTTTAAGATTGGCTCTGTAGAATGAATCTTAAAGATATATATTAATCTTCACACTTTGACTCTATTAAATTTCATTTTATTTCATTGTATTGCAGATGCAATTCGAATTCTGCCATGATGTTGTAATGGAGTTCTTGAAACAATATGACGCTTATTCCAATTTTCAAGGACAGTGATTATTTCAACTTTAATACATTGTACATTTACAATGTTTTATATGTGTACCGGTATTTAGACCGTTTTCTTCATTGTAGTCATTATGTAAAATGGATACCTAGCTAGGGTATTTCTAGCTAATAATCCTTAAGATCATTGGAAATTATTGTCATTCTTTTTTACCAAAAACTCAGCATGCATAAATATTTATAAATTTGAGATCAAACTTTAATAGCACATACATGTATACACCTAGAGTAGTTTTGTTTCTGAGGAACAATCAATTCAAAGAGCGAGGATTAATCCAAGTTCGCCCTTTATAATTTTAGTTGAGACATGGACCCTTTTGCTAAATGAACGCACTTCAATGCTAAACACAAAATTGTACATCTTTCTTGCAGGTCAAAGTCGATTCTTTGTTAAAATATTTTTTCGTTTTGTACGGTTCCAAAATTGTCCATAATTTATGCAATATACACAAGAAATAATTGAATGAGTTTTTGACTGAAGTGAGAATGCAACAACTTTCTCGGCTGATCCAAATCCAATAATAATTTAGAGGAATGTGCTTACAATACCTCTTGGCAAATTTAAATAATTTGATTTGAACATATTTTATTACTATGTAATATTATTGATAATAATATGTTTTATGCATACATATGTAATTTTCCATTTCTGTGGTTAGAATGTAGTAATTGTAGTATATTTTATGTATAACTTAGGTTTCAAAGCTAGGATGTTATGTAAAGCATAGTCTCAAGTTTTGGGGCTTTGCGTTGATTTGTCGTTAGCTAACGTCAGAGACATCACGTGATAGTTATCGCTGGTGGATGCTGCAAGTGTTTGTACACACCATTTTTTGTAAGAAATGACACATTTACAACAATACTCATTCTTGGTTTTCATTCAATCTGAAAAATAACAGAGCTGCGGGAAACTTGGTTTTAAATTTGCACTATTATCATATGGAAGGCATAAAGTATATACTGAAACATAAATGATTGCGAAGCAGGCAAATACGAGTATTCGCCCTCTCCTCAATATCAAACAATATGTAATAACTAAGTGGCCGTAAAAGATACACTGTCAGTTTTACATCATCTGAGATGAGTTCTCTATATTTTACTTATTCAGTTTATGAAGCACAAAGATTTATGTTCCGATGATAATTGAAATACATTCTTTCAATGCTAAATTGTAAATGAATGTATATGCTTTTCCTGTCTCTAATAGCAAGGTTAAGATACCGGTAATTTAGAATATAATAAACTATAGACAACATTTAATGTTTTACTTTATATGCAAACATGATATCTACTTTAATGCTCTTTATTTTTTTCTGTTCGGTGGAGGATTAGTCTTAATTTAAAATGTTCCAAATAAAAGCAGATTTTTGTTCGCCTTTTGTGAGTGCATATACAGAAGATAATGTACTAATATTCAAAATATGAATCAATGTTTTATTATTTATTTGATATTCTGACTGTTTTCCTTCATCGTGTTTTTGTAAAAAAAAATTGCATGACAGTAAATTCACGTTCATTAATTAAAACTTCATTACTTTCGTATACTTTTGCGCACCATAGTATACTGTAGATCACTAAATTTTTGCGACACCTTATTTTCGCGAGATAGTCATTGACTCTTGATTAGCGAGACAAAATTTCCACGAATTGTGGCTATTGCTATATATATTCTTAAGAAATACTATTATACGCGAGAATAAAATTTTCGCGAGTACACTGTCTCGCGTAATTACGCGAAAATAAAGTTCTCGCGATAAAAAATGTGATTTACAGTATATGCTGTATTTTTTTAAAAAGACACAACAGTATATTTTTAAAATATTATCTTGCTTTATAAAGCTTTCTGCGGATGAGACCTAAATATAGACTTTTAGATGTCGGTATATAAGTAGTCCGTCACAGAATAAAGCACGGAGATGCTTCCTTTATCCGTAAGTAGTGCGTTTCAAACATCCAATATCTTTGTCAGCTAAGCCCTGTAGGGTAGTTGGAGATGATTTAAGTGCATGCGTCAATTATTTCCGCAGCCTTCACCTCCCCCGCTAAAGCAGAGTACTTGTGTGTCACTCAAAATATTAAACAATTAAATCTTTTTGTTTGTGTGTATATTTATACACAGAAACAGGAAGCCCTCTGGCGAATAATCTGAATGCAGATGTAACTCACGACAGCGTGAGGTCGTGATACATCAAAGACATGTTTACACGCACAAAATTTAACAAAGATTTTTCTTAAGACGAAATTTCAGTAACAATCATCTTATTATTTCAAATTTCATTTTCCCCTATTACTTTTAGAATGACTGTCTTTTTATTAATTAGAAACAAATTAAAAACAATATGTTCCCCAACTTCGTTTGGGGAACATAATAAGTTACATGTTAATATTAATAAAATACATGTTTACATAAATGACTTGCAAGTAAATATTAAGATCCAACGACACTTTACTTGAATATTTTTTGTGTGTTATTTTATGTATCCACCATCCATCATGTGCTAATGATAGAATTAGAAAATTACACAGGAATGCAGTTTTATCATTTTTAAAATAAACTTTTCTTATGCTCTTAAAAAAAGACTAAATGTCATTATTGGATGTTATTTCTGTAATCTATCACATGCTAATTTTAACTTTCAAGTAGTTACTTTAAAGTAATGCATATCTTTTTATTCAATTGTCTTTAATTCTACGAATCCTTTATTTTTGTCGCAAGATTAAAAAAAAAAGAGTAATTTCATTCTAATTTAGTTTCTTAGAAAAATATACAGACCTTGATTTTTTATGTTGAAAATTTAAAACATCATATTATTTCATACTAAAGAATTTTTGTTTTTGCATACGGAATAATTTTTTGAGATAATTTCCAAATGTAATCATATATGATTTAGAGATTAATTGCTTGAAATACATATTTTAAATAAAATAAATCAAAAGAAAACAATTAAGCTTATATGAACATATTTGCAGATGATTTCATAAACAAGATAACACATTGTAGTTATTTCATGTAAAACTTCGTTACATTGATTAATTAATGAATAACTTTTAATCTGTATTTGTATTTCCGAATAGTCATTCAAGATACTCTCATTAATCTATCTTTATTTCCTATATTTTGGGATTTGCAAGAAAATACAAATATCAAATAAAGGGAAAAGAGGGTGTAAATTGTATATTACTATATCAAACAACATTCGTGTGTATCATTAGCAATGTCATGGAGAGTCGATTATTTCGGAATTTAAGAATGAAAACATTTTATGCATGATGATTTTTTACTTTAAATACTCGGTGGTGGCTACGTTTGGGAACAGAGAGATAAAAAATTGTACTCGCTTACAGTGATAAAATTTATTTAACCGATAATTCACAATAAATTCTTCACGTGTGTTCAAAATAGTTCCAAAGTTTTAAGAGTAGTGGTCCCGCTTAGTCCATCGTTACAAAAAGCTATTTAATGATGGTTCAATGATTTTGGTGTTTTATTTAAAGCTTCAAGAAAAGAAAAATCCTGTATTTATTGCTCGTATATATCGAGGAGTATAGCTTTGGTACTTCTTATTTATCATACTAGTATTTAATATCAGAAGTATTTAATAAGTCATTCAACTAAGTTTGGTTCTTCTGGTAACTAAGAATAAAAGGAAATATCAAAATATAGTGTAAATGTAATCGTGTAAAAGACTAAGTTTGTCTTTATTTGTGGAAATATATTTCGAAAAATACGTTTAAAATCATGCAATTTTGGGATAAAGCTCTGTATTCAAGCACAAAAATCCATTCAAACAATACCAATTGGGAGCAGAACAAACACAGACTTTTAATCAATCAGAAGGGGATCAGATGCCATGATGGAGTAAGCATCCTCTGCCGACCGGTCACACACGCCTTGTACTCCTTGTCATGATCGGGAAAACAGAAAATTAAGTATGAAAATATTGGTCTAACAATCTCCATATGTTTCATGAATATCTTTCCAGGAGAGATCTGAAATCGTTTCATTTATGACATAATTTCGAAAGCCATAATTTTGACTTTGAAAAAATATCTACGAGCTTTGTATTTTATTTGATAAAGATACGCTCATCAATGATATCGAAAAAAAAAATTGCTGTTCATAAAATAGGTTGTAAGTGAAAAGATACATAAGTAAACTTTTCCTTTAAAAATTGTTTCCACATCTGGGAACAATCTTGATATTTAAAAGTGGATTCTGAGAACAACAATTGATATAGTTTTGTTGGGATATTAATCAGATCATTGAAATAAATACATTCGTATTTTTGTATTACATCAAGTTTGGAATACTGTGTTTTGCATACTTTACATAAGACTGTACGCCCAATAGATGGGAAATGTCCTTCCGGCTTTGATAGAGAACAAATAGAACTATAATATATAAAATTCCTCTACAGAGTTGCCAATTTGAATCGTAATTGTGAAAACTATCTTCAATGTTATTAAAATTCAATTTACGATACAGTCTGTTTTACTGAACATATTGATCACATTAGCATTGACAGACCTCCATTTTGATCTCAAATTTTCTAAAGTTCAGAGGGATAACACATGTTAACAATGAATGTAAAAACAATACTCCGTGCACAGCAAATGTGTTAAGGACATTCCCTACAAATTGGGGACAGTTAATATTTGTTATTTGTGTTCGATCACTGTATTGTATTTCAAGTGGTTCTATGAGATTTGTGATTGTACAGGATGTTATTGTACAAATGCAAAGTTTGCGGAGCTAAGTGCCAACTCAAATAGTATCAGATATATTAAGGTTTCTAAATACTTTTGATGTGTTTGTAAATCATTTCCAATTACATTTCAGATATGCTGTATTCTAAGCGTGTAATTTGTACTCGGAGACAGGAATTTTTCATTGTTTTGAATTTTAATAATTGTGAAGCATTCTTAATTGTATGAGTATTAAAATGGTAAGAGAAAAATGTTCATGTTTGGAAATTTTGATTTGTAATAAATCTTAATAGATCTGGAAATTTACCATCACATGATGCATTAAATTTCAAAAAATAATAATTCTTTGACCAAAGAAATTTTAAAAGGACTTTTTGTCGATATTTAGATTTTCCTCAGTGCTTTATTTCAGGAGGAAGAATTAAAGATTACTTAGAAAAGAATGACTGATTGTACACATTCTCATTTTTTTTAAGATAAGAAAATGTCTGTCAAGCATAAATCCGATAGAGAGAAACTGTTTGTATAGATTAGGCATAGGCAAATGAGGAAATTCAATTAAATATATTTTTATGTTTCTAAGTGACTGTTTGATTTGTTGAAGCATAGGGAAAAAAATAACCAAGAAATTCAATATTCTTTAAATTGTAAACTTTTTAATTTAACAACCTTTGTATATATATTATATATCATTGCAAAATAACTTCTAAAATTCAAAATATAAAAAATAAATATGTAAAAATTAGTAAAATATTTGACATGATAGAGAGCAAAAAGCACATCGAATAAAATGCAAAAATCTGAGACAATTTAAAATTCACAGACACACACACAATATATATTAAACAGACACACAATAAATTACCATTATACAGCATGAATACACAACATTTTCAGAACTGAGTATCGTTTCCAGGGATGCCTTTGAAAGACTTTGGTAAATGCTGCCTATAGTTATTCACATAGTGTCAGGATCACCACCAGAACTTGTATTTGACCCAGAGCCTGAAACAGCTTCGGTCTTTTTGGCACAAGTACATCCCTCTTGCTTCATATATGTTTCCTCTGAATACTGATAAACACCATCAACACAGTCTGATTTCCTAGTAAGAATCCTGACCGGTCTGTACACGGGCTCACACCGAGTGGCCGTACTATGACCATTTTCTTCCAGACAAGATTGGCATTTACACCGAGCCTCAGTTATAATCTTTGGATACCGAGTTGAAAGATGAGAAGCCACAAGGAAATATGGACAAGTAGTTCTTTCGTGGACTTTGCTCTTTGGGTCCGATGTAATGACTCTAAGGCTTGAAGGACATACTTTTGTACCGTAGATAAGTTGTTCTTCTTCATCAGGACGTGTGTTGTTGGTTGAATAGGAGCCCAGTATTTCATCTATACTTGACCCCGATTCTTGGGACAAATATTGGGAGTACCGTTCAGCTAGGTTTGTTGGCTCAGAACATATCACTGCTGACTGAACTTGACCACCCAAGAGGACAATTGCACTGCACATCGCCTAGAAAACAAAACATACTGAGTGAGTCTATAACTTCACTTTTATTAAAAAAATTATTTTTAAAATGAAGACTGCGTTTAATTCTTTGGAACAATTAAGTAAAAGTTGTAACTTCTTATTAAAGAACGATTAATAAATAACATTAACTAAATAAACACACACAGATAAGAATACAATCATTGTTTTGATTTTATTTTTGTCCCGTGTTTTTTTGTAAAGTATTTATTGATAATTATTCTTATGAATAAGTGTGTAACTATCCCTTAAAATCCTAAAAAAAAAAAATGGAAATGTTCTAAAAGCCAAACATTTTGATGAAAAAAATTCTTAAAAAGAGTATGTAGATTTTGACCCAAAGAATTTAAAGACATTATTAATTCTTAATTCAAGATGATTGTTAAGAAAATATTTATTGCACAGAAAACTTTTTGTCAAGGTAAAGTGATAACATTAAAATGAAAAACAATAAAGACTTGGATCCCAGATTATCATACACTTACCAATTTGAATGACATTAGAAAAGAGATGCCCATTTTAAATGTGTTTCTTATTTTACAACTTTTTGATAGCTGAGTTGTTTGTGGTATAATGCCGACATGGTATCTTGTTTGCCATTATATAGAGTCTGCAGAAAAATTTTGGACAACTTGGGGAATATTTTTAACTTAAGACTCTTCCTAAAACACACTGTTGTTGAGCATGCGTCTAGCGGAAGGAACACCCCCTTTCCTGGTTGGCTTTTTCGTCACTCTATTTTTAGATTACAAATACGGAGGATCTCCCTTTAATGATTGGCTCTATAAACGTAATACTTTTAAACGGGTTAAAGCGACCGTTCCGGGCTACTGTTTATACAATACCCTCAGCTGATTTTCTGTTATGGATAAATCATTGGTTGCTACTTAAGCAAGAGATCAGTTTCTTTTTATCCTTCTTATATACATTAAGTTTACTTCCCATTCTCTTTCAGTTAAAGAATTTATCAGTCGAGGGGTAGACGGGAAATTGTAGTTTTTGCACATATAGGTAAAATAAACTATTTAGAATTACTTGTTTTATTTTACTCTCCTTGAAAGATTTTGTTATGGAATACACCTATGGATAACAATGTAGAACGTTGTTTATTACTTAGTTTGACCTTGTAAAATCTAGATTGATAATTATTTGTTATCATTCGACTTAGCTTTTATTGTATCTCTATTATTATTTTATATTTTGCATTTCTAAAAATATATTGTAATGCCATTCTGTTTTGTATGAAAAGTATCACAGCCTATGTATTAAGTTTACATGTTCTCTATCAATAATATTCAGTTAAAACTCAGACATACCTTTATTTTTAAATTTAGTTTTATCCCACAAGACAAAATTCCAATTACCAAGCTAGCATCGTGAAATTCCTAAACAAGTATGAAATGTATATGATTTCAAAACTTTGTATTCTGGGAACAGTCTCTTTACCCCGGAAGAAAACAAATTTTGATATCTCTCACAGCTGAATACAGACAGATTTGAACAGGTGCTGAAATGCAAACGGAAAAAAGAATATTCACTTATTATGAATCCACAAACAAATATCCTGAAATCTGAGTTTAGTACTTATGTCAATATTACAAATAAAGTTGTTTGGATTATGATTTCCTTTTAAAATGACATTTATAAAAATTTACGCTACAGAATTTGGTCTCAGTAATATACAATTTAGTACCCTTATTTATATTCTGTGTTTTATCATTGATATGCATTACTGTGAGATGAGGTTTATGTCCTCTAGAACATAGGTTGTGCTTGTGCTGGCTAAGAAGGTCCAGTGAAAAAAGCATATTATGTCTTTTATGTACAGTCACTGTTTTTGTTTAAAACTTCTCTAATTTTCCCTTTTCTGTATTTTTCCCTCTTTTATATATATCTAGAGTTGATAGCATAAATAATATATCCCATCCAAAACAGATGTCTTGTATTCTCAACTATTTTACAAATAAAATCCGTTAGGCATCATAGATTAGTTATTTTTGACTAAATATCCTCGATTGAAAAGTTCTTGCATTTCCTTCTGCATTTAGTTTCTTAAATTCATATTTTTCTATTAAAATGTCAGATAAGTGTCCCTAATACTCAACTCTTTAATAACTCGCCTCTCTTTTCTTCGGCAGAGGAACGAGTGGTGAAGTGTTCATTTCCCACACGTGACTGAGATAAGACTTTTCCTTCAGGATGTCGTAAAAGTGGCTTTTACTGCATCTATTTCCCCGTTTCCTACAAATTGTTCATTCATTCAGAAGCCGAGATGCTACTTCACCAACCCATCACGGGATACAAAATTGTTTTAATTCGTTCATAATCAAGTTTAGGGCTTGAGTTATGATCAAATTAAATGAGGCCACATTAGTAGCCACAAGTAGAAAACTCCTGAGGTCATTTTCGCTTCAAATCTATGACCTAGTATCCGACTTTTATAAGAGTCATCTAAATACCCTTATACCAAAAATGTTTTTTTTTTTTACAATTGTGTTTTTTTTTAAATCAAGATATCTAAAGCAAAACATATGTTGTTCTGTTTGTTATAAATATTACTCATTATTATTATTATTATTTATCCATTGGATAAAATTTTTTAGTCAATGACTAACTTAATTCAGTTTAGACGCACTTTTTATTATTCACATGCTTCTGTTTCAGTTTATATAAAAGGGATACTAAGAACTCATGAACTGAAGATTCTGGTGTATTTATGTTTTGATACAGAATAAGAGGACTTGGGGTTGTGTCCATTTTTACACTATATTGATCTCCTTTAGAAGGAGAGCTCCATATGATGATAGATTTTAAAACTAAAATGTATGATATATTTCTTTGCCAAATAATAGTTGATATCATATCAAAAAACAATTAGTTATATCTGATTGTTAATATGTTGACCCTCTAGCCCTCTTGAGCTTCAAAAATTCAACTGATGAATTCATGCTTTACTCTGTATCTAAACTTAGATCCTTTTCAATAATTCTTCACATTTTTTCACATATACACATTGAAATAATTATTCAGATAAAATTTGAGCCTTTTGATTTTATTTCCTGTAACGTGTTGACCATCTGTAGTAAAAGTGGGAAATTGAAATTGGAATTTTTGGGATATCCCCCTTTAACCTGGTGTTCTTTTTACTTTTAAAACTTAAAATGATTATTCCTGAGTTTTATTTTTTTATATTAATCTTGAAAGTATTTCAAAATCAATTACTTCAAGAGAAGGAGAAAATGCCGGATGCTATGCTCAATTTAGATATTGCAACGTCGAATTTAAAAGATATATACCTTTCTTAAATCGACAAATTTAAATGCCTGTGACACAAACCTTGTAGACTACCTTTATTTAGAATGAGGAAGTATCTGGTGACCTTCACCCTATAACAGTCTAACTAGAACAACTTATCTTTAAATGTGTCAACTATTTAATACGATAACTCTTATGTGAGCTACTTGGCAAATATTTTAGACACTAAGTCCCTTTAGAATATTTTCTCTTTGTTAAATAACCATGATTTGTAAACGTGTTTAAAGGATTATTGTATTTCTTTACCTTTTTTAACTCTTAGGGGAAGTTTCTTTAGGAAACGTAGACTTCCGGAATGGGTAGACCTACCCATTCATTCACTGTTGTGTTACACGTGTTTATAGCCAAAAAGAAGGGAAATTTGAAATATATAAAAACCCGTTAGGTTTTAGCGTGTTTTATTCTGCATACCTTATTATGATAAATATAAGGGAAATATTTCTGATTCATGAATGATGATTTCGGGTATATCTCCCTTCCCCTTTTTATTTCATATGAATGGTAATATTCATTAGCATTCTAAACGATTTCTTGAACAAAAAAAATATAATAAACTTAATTTTGTAATAAAATTTAAGAAAAGTGTTCAATTAAAAATCAAATAGAAAATGTTTCAGTGCGATCAAATGATTTTGTTGTCTGTAATTTTTATTGATTTAAACTAGTTATCCATTTTTTTTTAATTATTATTTATTACAACATACTGAAATAAATCCAACTTTTTTTAGGCTGGGTAGGTAGATGGTTGGGATTGGGTTCGCTTGCTTTCATATATTTTTTCCCGATATTTTCGTTGGGTTACATTCAGAATTAAATTTTACATATCGTATTATATGGCTATTAAACTTCTTAAAATTTCATTAAGAATGTATAGATGTCAGGTTAAAAGACTTTGAGGAATCGCTTATCCCTTTTGCTATCAGTTGTGAAATGTATTAACGTCGTCTTATAAACATCATCAACTACAAATCAAACTTTATTCACTTCCTACAATAAAACAATCAAAACTTTTTTGACTTTTGATAAATTTCAATATTTAAAAATTCTCCACGGGATCATTGAAATAATAGATATTTAAATTCAGAAATTTAATTATAATTAAGAAACGACTTATATTAATAAATTCATATCTTTAGGTCGCGGGAAAAGAACAATTTCGCAGATTTTCTATGACGTATGAATTACAAACTGTAAAAACAGATACAACCGAAGCGAGAAGTTAAACATAGCCCGTCTAATTAATTGAGGGTTCAAGGTAATAAACTGTTCACTTTTTTATGGTAACAATACGTCACAAAGGTACATTTCACCAGTTTGCTTCAACTAAATGTGCTTCAGAGGAGAAGGATCCGGTTGAGATATTCTGCCCTCCAGGCTTATTTATTAACTCATTATAATTTGACCCTAACATCGAAATAATTTATTTTTATTTATATTTTTTATAGATTTGATTGTTTCGGTATTTAAAAGTTAATGAGACAGTGATGCGCTCGGTTTCTTGGACAAAGGCCTGTCTAGCCGTGATTAACGCTGGTTTAGAACTAGTTTTGGTGCAATCTAGTTAGACCAAAAAATATAATTAATTTCATTGTTTCTTCATGATTATTATTCTTTGATTTTATTTAGCTATTTATTTAGTGTACACATATTTTGAACCTCAAAAGGTTTGGAATTTGAATACTCTAGTAATTCCTTATTTGTAAAAAAAAAAAAAAAAGAGGGTGCTGTAATAAAACCAATAGTTCAAAACATGAAAGAGTGTAAGGTTTCTATTATATATATTTGAAGATTCCCAGAAGTGAAAAAAGAATTGATAGATTACATGAACAGTATGTACTGGTCCCTGCCGACAAAGCAGGTAACAACATTGTCTTCGTCTGTAAGGCTCAATATATAAATTGTATTTTAGAATAACTTCGATTAAATTCTACAAGCGGTTATCCTACTTATACTCATACTTTCCTTTCTAAGGAAGAAATTCTTCAAAATCATATGTCAATTTTCAAGATTTTTAATATTCCACAGATCCAAAATGAATTTAAACTACGATTCCGAAACTTCATAAAAATCCTTACAAACAAAGATACATTGCGAGTTCCAGTAAATGTTCAATCAAGCCTTTTTCGTAACTCCCCACTAAGATATTGACAGTAGTGAAGGAAAAACTTCAAGAGTACTGTACAACAATATATTCAAGAAGTGGTGTGAGTCAGATATGTATACTCGAAAATTCCAAAGAACTTTTGGACAATTTGAAATCACAAGATTTTACCAAAATCAACAGCTTAAAAACTTATGACTTTTCAACTTTATACACAATCATTCCCCACGATAAATCAAAGTCCAGGCTTTTTGATATCATTGACAGTTGCTTTTTCAATAAAAATGGAACGCATAAATTTACTTACCTGGTCATTGGTCTTTTGCAAAATTATTTTGTTAAAACACATTCTGATTGCACACACAAATACTCTGAAGTTGACATCAAAAAGATGCTTGAGTTTCTGATTGACAATGTCTATGTGGTTTTTGAAGACCAGGTCCTCCAACAATCCATTGGAATTCCCATATGTACCAATTGCGCTCCGTTGTTAGCAGACCAATTTTGTATTCATATGAAGCAGAATTTGTGCAATATCTTATACGTGAAAAGAAGAAAACACTTGTTGTGACCTTCAACTCGACATTTAGATATATCGACGACTTATTGTCAATTAACAATGGTAATTTCCATTCCTACGTCGACACGATAAATCCTTGTGAACTTGAGATAAAAGATACCACAGGGTCTGACACATCTGTTTCATATTTGGATATTTTACTTGAAAAAGACATTAATGGTAATATAACAACAAAGCTATATGATAAATGTTATGACTTTATCTTTTCGATCGTCAACTTATCTTACTTATGCAGCAACATACCTTCATCACCTGCATACGGAGTGTATATATTTCAGTTGATTCGATATGCAAGAGCATGCTCTACGTAAGTTTAATTTCTAAAATGAAGTTAATTATTGACAAGCAAGTTGGTGAAACAAGAATATCAGCAGTCTCGCTTAAAGTCATCATTTCTTAAGTTCTATGGTCGATACAATGACCTTGTCATGAAATACAATTTATCATTGAGTCAAATGCTGACTGACGTTTTTAATACTAATTGTTAGTCCTTTATTTATACACTGAATTGACGACGGATTTTTTTCCGTTATTTCCCGATCATGACAAGGAGCACACGGTGGGTGTGACCGATCAGCAGGGAATGCTCACTCCTCCATGGCACATGGTCCCACCTCTGATGTTTCGGAGGTCCGTGTTTGATCGCTC